ATCAGGAGGAATTTCTTCTCTGGAGGGTGGTGAATCTGTGGAAGTCTTTACTTTGAGGGCTGTTGAGGCTGGGTTATTAAATATATTCAAAGCTGAGACAGATTTCTAATCAGTAAGGGAAATCAAGGTTTGTAGGGTAAAAAAGTAGAATGGTGGAGTTGAAGATGATCAGTTCAACCATGACCTCATTGAATGGCAGAGTGGACTCGATGGGCTAAATGGCCTACTTCTGCTCCTACATCTTATGGTCTTTAAAAGGATTTGCACAAACTTGCAAAATCCAAGAATCATGAAATCAGTGGTTCAATGGTGAACGTTCCAGAAACTATTCTTCACAAACCTCTTCGAGAGGTTGGCCTGTGTACCTTTCAACTTCTGCATTTTTTTGGCCTCGCTGCTTTCGAATCTGTGTGTGTGTTTGCTGCATTATTTGTTTTTCTTGCCTGCCTGCCTGCCTGCCTGACATGTTTACCATGCAAACTCACTGACTGGGCTGCCTGAGCTCTGACAATATTTGTTCCTCTTGGATTACATTCACACACTTGTGTGTCACAATGGAAACTTGGAAAATGGGAAAATGTTTTGGCCCTTGGTATACATATGAGAAGCTGGATGTTTGTGAGGTTGTAAGTGTGTGAAAGGGTGTGAGTGAATGTCTGATTGAGTGAGTGCCTGATGGTACATGGGTGGGTGACTGAGATTGAGTGTACGAGTCAGTGTGTGTGTGTGTGTGAGTGAGTGGATGACTCAGTGAATAAGTGTCTGAGTGAGTGTGTGAGTGAGTTGATGACTTAGTGAATAAGTGTGTGTGTGTGTGTGTTCCTGTTTGTTGGGTTTCTGAGTGTGTGTGGATGTCTGAGTGAGTGAGTGAGTGTGCCTGTGGGTGGGTCCGCGGGGATGCCTTTGTGTGCCTGTGGGCACATGCCTGCTTGGTGTCTCAGTGAGTGTGCCTGTGGGCACATGCCTGCGTGGGTGTCTGTGAGTGTGCCTGTGGGCAAGTGCACATGTTTCTAGGAGGCTCAATGTGTGTCTATGAATGTGTGTTTGTGTATCTGCCCTTGGGTGCGTGGGTGCCTATGTATTCTGTCTGAGCTCTGTTTAGTCCGACAGTTTCTCAGTAACTGCCGTTTGCCCTCTCTGTGAGTCGCTGAGCGATCCTGACCACATTCTTAGGCAGTCTGACACCACGACCCACTGTGGTCTCACAGCTAAAACTGAGACAGCATCGAAACGAATGTTGCAGTAAGATATAAGAAAAAACCACATCGAAATCCGCATGATTTACGCAGTTCCACATTCCCCTTGAACTAGTAAAATCTGATCCTCCACCCAGAGTGAGTTCAGCTTTTGCCTAGGCCAGTCGAGAGAGCCAGAAACTTCCCTTTGATCAAACAAAACACTGAATGTGGATGCTAGGAAATCTGAAAGAAGCAAAAACAGAAAGTGCTGGAGAAACTCAGCAGGTCTGGCAGCCTCTGCAGAGAAACAGTGTTAATGTTTTGAGTCCAGTGACCATTCTTCAAACTCTCCATAGGCAGCTTTCAACTGAACACTTTGGGAATGAATCCATCTCTGAACAGTCTCGAACGGGCCACCCATTCAACAGGGGCCAGTCGACATCCCCTTGGACTCAGCTTCCTGTAAGTGAAATCCTTCATGCTCTATCACACTTCTAACTGTGTGGGTATTGTGAATTCTGAGCATCCCAAAACATTTTACAATTCACCTCAATTGAAGGGTCATCACTGGGAAACACTGCAGCCAATTTGTGGACAGCAAGCTCCCATAAGAAGAAACATGACAATGCTCCAGATTGTACGTCTATGTTTTGTAGTGACTGTTGAGGGAAGGTACTGGCTGCAGGACCCTGTGAGAATTCCCCACCCCAACCATTCTTCTCTAAATAGTGGCTCTGGGATCATTTACAGCCATTCACAAGGGCAGACAGACCCACATTGTAGTAGTTGTAAGTGGTGCAGATTCGGGTGGATAATCAAAAAGCCTCACCTGTACAATGAAACTATGCTTTATTCTCACACACCAGTGAGATATCAGTACCTAAACCTTGTTACGTTTAATTCCAATGACCTACCAGGAGCCTATCAAACATTTGGCACTGACTTTCTGTCCTTGATCAGTCACTCCTGCCTCATGGTTATCTGATCTACTGCTACCTTTCATCTTTCCATATTCAAAAAATCTCTGAATAGTTTGACTGGCTGTATCAATCCTCCTGTCAGTGATTGCTGAAGACTGGCTAAACATTTTTGCACAAGTTATTCATACTTGTGTCTGCAGCTCAGTAACACTTCCTCCTTATCTCATACTTGCAATCCAACAGTACAATATTCCCTCAGCACTGGCTCTCCGACAGTGCAGCACTGCCTCAGCACTGCCCCTCCAACAGTGCAGCACTGCCTCGATTAATTTAAAAAAAAAATATTTCCTGGTGAGCAGCAGTGTTTGCTGCTGGTCCTGAAATGACTTAACTGCCTTCAGAAAAGTGCCATCTGCATGTGTGTGGAAATGGAATCACGTGGAGCAATAACCTCTGTAATCGGTGTCGCCAAGGTTCTGAGCAAGTAAAGGAGCTGCATCATTCCTCTTGATTACAGGGCTCAGACATCACTGGCGTGCAGGACAAAGTGAAGGAGGAGGGAATGTTAGCAAGGAGGCTTGATCGGATGAGGACAGCTGATTGCTGGTTGTGTCGGGGACATGAATGAACAAGATGAGGTTCCTTAGTTACTGCTGAGTGATTCACGGTCGCCGTCACTGACAGGCCAGTTCAATTTACAATTCTGAAATTAGCTTCAATTCCAACAGATGCGCTGCTCCTTTCAAAAATAATGTCTCCGAAAACAGCCCCTTCCTCAATCGAGCCAGTGTTATTTAAAAAGCTGTGATTTCATCAGCCAGT